GGGGGGGGGGGGTGCAGAGGGAGGGGAAGAGTGTGTAACACACATTTGAGTTTTTCCAAAGTTCTGTGACTTTTTATGATTTCAGTGTTTATGTCTGTTTGTTTGCAGATGCTTATATTTTTGGAAAAAAAATAATAGCTGGAAAATAAATAGAAAAATAACTCTTTGTCACCACATAGCCCTAAAAATGCAAGTATGCTTCTAGAACATCCTTACATCCTTATGAGTACACATCTAGCACTGTAGTGGTCCCAACACATCATCATATGACTGTTGAATTTTCTCTTGTGGAGGGTGTATGTTTGATATTTCATGCTCCTTTACCTACATAGAGGGGGAATATTCCAACAGCAGAAAACTCTGTCAATTAATTGCTACATGCTCCCTGGGATGAAAATCAGTCTTACAGCAGCAGATCTCTCAGCAAAGAGGTGGGAGATCAACTCCTTTTGCAGAAGGGGAGCATGTGCTCTGTGGCAGCAGAGCCAGTGGAAGGAATCTGGTGGTGCAGAGGATGACCACCTTACACACTAGGAATGACACTGTGAGCAGAAGAGTAAACTTTCTGGGTTTTTTGTTCTACACAAATGAATTGCCTAAAAATCTGATCCCCAAAAGCTCTCTCTGTGGTCAATAGAGATATATAATACAGACATTATATAAGGTAATTCAAACCATCTAGAATCTGAGTCATGATTCTCACATACATACACACACACATAGGACGGCATGATGCCTGAAAAAATACTCTTTATTTCTTATTATTGCTGAGTAAATTGCATCATTGCACTTTGTACAAATGTATTCCTATTGAATGAAAGACACATCCTAACATTCACAGCTATTTTTTCCCCATTAAGAGGAAAATCCCCAAAATACAAAATTTTTTTGGATATATAAGTCATCAAAGAAGAATCCAACTTCCACAAGATTTAAGCCAAGGCAACAATTTTAAAAGTTAATAAATTTGCTACTTGTGCAATGAACAACTGCATATCTGCAGGTCTAATTAGTTGTCACAGTTTCTATGGGATGGGGGTTAACTGGTGTTGAGTGCCTTAGCTTCCCTCTCCCAGGCTTTGGATTTGGGTTACCCAGCAGCAGTTTTGGCCTTTCAGAGCACACTGTAAACTTAGTTACTCCACTTCCTGGGAAACTGACTGATTAGTCTGTTAAAATGTCTGTATTTGAAATTGTGCAAAATTCTGTTTTAATATTTACCTTTCCCATGGTTCAAGGAATAGAGAAAAAACCAGACTAAGTGGGTGTTATAAATTCATCAATTTTACATACTGGTCAAAATCATCTCCCAAAAAGCAGAAATCACACATGAAGTTATGGCAGAATACTTCTGCCATACAACACAACTAGCTAAACACCTTCATATCTTAAATATGGTGGTATTTCCTTTTATATTCTTTGCTCTGACACTGAAAAATTACTGAAGTAATCATTTAGTTCAAATATAAACGTGAAAGTCCTCAGGGCATACTAAAAAAGGAAACAGTTTAATGTTTACCTGAAAGTCATTAAGCACATATGTACCTTTGAGTCTGGATTAACTAGTACCTTTCCAAGGAGCTCCACTTTACACCTGGATGGCATTTCCAATTTTAGCCAAGCAGTGCTAAAATGCCTGCTATTTCAGAATATGGACAGTCTTTTTTCTTGCTAGGGTCAAAGGTGACATAGCAGTGATGCAGATTCTGTGCATAGCAGAAGTATGCATTTTTAAACAAATATTTTTCAGAAACTGAAATTGAAATACTGTTAATTTTTAATATTAAAATGGCTGGGATCACACAGCCATTCTGGAAAACCAAGGAGCAGAATCTATAGAATGTGATTTGTAGGAAATTATAAATTACTCAGCATAATGAATTACAAGCAGTTACTTATCAAAGCAACTCATATGGAAGACAGTTCCTGTGTGTGAGCTAAAGCAGTTCGCATGAACTTTTTGCCAAATTATTTTGAACAAGTCTTTCTGCAAAATTTCTGCTCATCCGACTGTGACGTGTTAATTTACTATGGTCTATATAATTACAATCTCATAAATGTGCAATTCTATTTTTACGGTAACAGGAACCAACTATTTTGTATGTAATTAGTGTCAGTACTAATGAATTACTGACTCCTCATTTTACTATATAAGATACTCAACAGACAAACACCTTTCACCATCAAGTTATGCTGACTTCATTTGTCTCCTACTTCATTAGAGAAGTCTCTCACTTCCTACAGAAATTAATTCTTGCCTATTTTGGTGTCCTCCAGTAGTAGACCTGTTTTTTCTAGAATGAAATTTAGGAAAGCAAAAGATATCCCATGAACATTCCACTAAGAACAATCACTGCAGCGGCATTCTGGGAAATTACTTCTAGAAGTAATTTCAGAAGACACAGATTATATGAGCTTGATTGTACTATTTGAATGTCATAGAAATATGCAAATTATTAAATCACACACACACACACACCCCCGCCCCCAAACCAAACCCTTGGCACAAAAGATAATAATGTGAAAATGAAGCACAGAGGCAGGAAAATCAAAGGATTAATGAATATTTTTGGAAAGATGTATCAGATATATTGCTGCCATCCTGGAATCTCTTTTGAATCCCTAGGTTTCATCAGGACAGCATCAAACAGTATCCTGTGCAAGTACCAGCCTTAAATATCTGTATTAACTATATAATTATTTTGTTATAAACAGGGAATATCTTTATTAACTGAATGCTTTCTGGGCTTCTTGACAAAGTGGTTATAATCCATGGCAACATCTTGAGTATTACAGGGCAAATTAGAAAGCCATGGATTGCATCATGTGTTCCACTCACTCCTTCTGGAATGGAAAAAAAACTGGCTCAGAATTGGGTCTTTCAGTAAGGACAAGACAGAGTGACCTGCCCTTTTTTGCTTAGCTTTAGCAGGCTTTGCCTTAGTTTTAGCTTAAAACTCTAGTTTCATATTATACAAGTCATCCAGTATCACTGGAGCTGAAAAGGCAGAAAACCTCCTGCCAGCTCTGGTTTTAAAACTTGACTGCTTTTTAATATTATACTGTCACTGTCGGACACAGAATTGTTCACACGGACGCAGCTCGAGGTGTGGTGAAAGAAGAAGAAGGGTTTATTTGTTCTTTCAGTATTTATAAGTTTTCAACGATGACCAGGGATTGGATAGTCAGGTTACCACCTTCCCAACTGCACTGGCTGAGAGAGATGTCTATCAGAAGGCATATCTTGGAATAATCTATGGAATATATAAACACCTATGTTTATAGTTACTTTCCTGGGAAAGTGGCTAGAAATTAAGAAAACAATATCAAAAGGCCTGATTCTCAGGGCAACATTATACCATCAACACGCCACGTCTAACCTACAGTTTTAATATAATTAGAGTAGGCTGGCAAGCACTTTCAAAGAAACATAATTTTATATGTTAAATAGGTTAAAGCCTGGGAGCCAACAATACTGTTTGGTATAGACAGGAACACAGTCAGTTCATGTGAGAATATGGCTGAGAATCTGGCAAACTAACCTATTTTCCTATCACCACCCACCATTTCTTTCACAAGGTTTACTGAGTGATCTCAAGGCTTTCCTTTTAACATTAATAGGAGTACTACTTGTAAATATTTACATGGGGCAGACCTATGTTTAGACAAAGTGCCTGCAGGATGACATCAATTAGTAGCATCTTTTTTGGGAGACACTTTGTGTGTGCAAAGGTAGGGCCTGATGAAAAATGTCAG